TCCAGTAAATTCCCAATAAATTCATAATAACTTTCCTTACTAGTAAATATAATACATAGAAGTAAGTCTAACTAAGGATACATTTTACTTATTTGTCATTTTTATGGCCAGGTGGGCACACTTCCAAAATGTTGAGTTGTAGCCAACCATCATTTTTATATTGTAAAATATAAATATAAAATACATGCGGTCTGTATCATCCCTAGAAGCATTAGTAGAGACAAAGTTAATGTTAGAGGTTGATGCTTTATTTGCATCATGTCACCCATACAATTATTCAATTGTTTAATTGAAATAATTGGAATTAGGTAGGAAAAAGAGCTCAGGTGCCAAGAAATGCCATCTGCCAGTGTATAGATACTCTGGTCCTGCTAATAGACTTCCTACTCAGTGGTGAAATCCAATTTTTTTTACTACCGGTTCTGTGGGCGTGGCTTTATGGGTGTGGTGTGGCTTTGTGGGTGTGGCTTTGTGGGCGTGGCAGGGGAAGGATACTGCAAAATCCCCATTCCCTCCCCACTCCAGGGGAAGGATATTGCAAAATCTCCATTCCCACCCCATTCCCATACCACAGCCAGAGGTGGTATTTGCCGGTTCTCCGAACTACTCAAACTTTCCGCTACCAGTTCTCCAGAACCTGTCAGAACATGCTGGATTTCATCCTTGCTCCTATTCTACCATAGCTCACACTGGCTTACCATCATAATTTGGTTATTGCTTCTGTAATACTATGACTTTGGGAGAACACTGCATTTGCAGTTTTTTTCCCCTTGAAACTTCATAAGAATGTCCTAGTGGCAAAATGGATTTGTTTGGTATAGCCGGCATGACTTTGATAGTGTTCAGCTTCTATTTACCATCATGTAATTTATGCTTCTTGCATTCTCCTATCCATGAACATAGTTCATGTTTGTCCAACCTTTGGCTTGCTTGGGCCAAAGGTTCAGTGAAGAGGAATTCCCTTGGGTTGCATATAAAATATATAACGCAGTTAATATATATAACAAACTTCCTTTTTAAATATTTTTTATTATCTTGTGGGACTATATTACCAGCTGTCTAGGGTTGCATGTGGCCCATGGGCTGCAGGTTGGACATGCCTGGTTTAGTTATTTGAAAGCTGGCTGCTGTACTTCTAATCTCATGTCACATTTACCCACCATTTTAGTGTGTGGAAGGCCTATGCAGTCCCCTAAGACCTTTCCACTGACAATACGTGTCTTACATAATTGATGAAGGGACCAAGGCACACAATATGCCTGCTGATGCCCCAGCTGCATTTATATAAAACACTTTCTGGCTAGGAAAAACAAGTAGTGCTACACTCAAAGGCTGATGGTATGATAAGATTTTCCAATAGCTTCCAGCAGCCCTCTCTGATGTGGCTGGCTAATTTGTTGACTCAGAAGTCCCAGGCAATGCACATATTACTTCCTAGATGCCCTCACCCAAATATAGAATTCCAGTGACCTTGTAGTGCATTGGAACAGACATTGTTGATATTGTGGCTACTATTTTATGAGTCCATTTAAAAAAAAATCTCCTTCAGTATTTTTAATGTCATAATTTTTTGCATCCTCTTATCAGGCTGTATATTTTTTCTCTGCCTAAAACATTTAATCCCCTCTAGTGCCTAGTTTTTGAAATCATAATTATCTGTTTATGTCTTATAAAAATCAAAATAACATCTATTTCCTGTGGCAAGCTGTTTGTACTTCACAAATTCCAAAACCTTATTTAAAATATTCATTTTAAATATTCTAAAATATGAAATACTTATTTCAATGTTCCAATTTTATCTGGACCCTTAGTCTGTTCATAACTTTCTTAGACCACAATCTTTTTTAGCTTTTTTGCAGTTTATTTCAGTTTCTTTGAATTCTTAAACCTTATGATTATTATTTTCTTTCTTTCCAGATTGAAAGCAGGCTCATCTGGTGTTTTCAGACTTGTCATTTGAAAGGTCTCTAATAGGTTAGAAATAGTTTGGAAATGAGCAATTTTGAAAAGCAATCAGAAAGTGAGGTTTGCAAATTTAATACCCTTATAAAGGCTCTGCCACAGTTGCAAATAAGATGATCGATCCTATTATCTCTCAGTGCATAATCCCACAGAAAAATGCTGTTCAGTCTCCTTGCAAGGAGCAGCCATCAGGAGCATATGTCGACTCCCATTCTCTCTTTATTCGGAGACGTTCCAAGGATTCAGTCTACTCACTGGTTCTTTGGTTTTGCAATGATTGTCTTTAGTTCATCATATCATACCTCCCCAGAAGTGTAGATCTACTAGCATTCCTATTTTCCTGCTCTGTCTTACATACAAAGATGTTTTAACTGTAATGAAATTTAATATCTTAGCCTTGAGAGTGTTAGAGGAGACCTTCCGTAACATCTTACAGTCAGCATTTGAATATCTTTTTAATATATTTGATTTTAACTTTATTGGCTATTTTGAATTACTAAGGTTTCATATTCCTTCTCCTTACAAAATATACAGGTTGGCTTGAAATAGTTGTCCAGTTTTTACTACTCAATCAGTTTGTCAAAATTTTTACAAAAATTGCTAAATCCTCAGTTGGCATTGATGTCATAAGGTGGTGGGTTATAATGATGTTCAGGCCTGGAGAATTTGGCTAAATCTTTTGGATATAGACAATTGGTAATTTTTAAACAACGTCATTACCTTCCCTTGGTTCTGATGTGTTTTATTATATTTGTGTTTTTATTTCGTCCCTGACCATAAATTCAGTAAATCTTATAAAAAACACAGGACACAAATGCACTCCGCCTAGCAAGACAAAAACCTTAATTTGCTACTGTTAGTAACACTAGTTACTATTACAGATTTACCAGTTGGATGTTGGCATGGAGATTGGTCCAGTGGAGATGCCCAGGGTGGAAACAACATTGGTTGGGCTCCTCAATGATCTCTGGCAGGATCATTGAGCCCAAAATATATGTTGCTAAGTGAGAAATTTGTTAAGTGAGTTTTCCTTCATTTTAAGTGCATCATTTAAGTGCATCATTGCAGTTAAATTAATAACATGGTTGTTAAGTGAATCTGGCTTCCCCATTGACTTTGCTTGTCAGAAGGTCACAAAAGGGGATCACGTGACCCCGGGACACTGCAACTGTCATAAATATGAGTCAGTTGCCAAGCATCTGAATTTTGATCATGTGACCATAGGGATGTTGCAACGGTCATAAGTGTGAAAAATGGTCCTAAGTCACTTTTTCCAGTGCTGTTGTAACTTCAAATGGTCACTAAGCGAACAGTTGTAAGTCGAAGACTACCTGTAGTGCATCCGTCCTTGCTTTGTTTGCCTCTCAGTGGTTTTTGATACCATCGACCATAGTATCCTTCTAGAATGGCTGTGGGGGTTGGAGGTGAGAAGTACTAGGCTGTCCTTCCTCAGTCTTGTGATATTGATAGAATTATACCTGTCCCACAGAAATAGAAGCACAGGTTTAATTCAGATCAAACAACCTGTCAAAGAAGAAAAGCATGTATTGGCTGATTATGTAAAAGACAACCGAAACCAAACATTGAGAATTAATGATTAGGAATTGGAACTTATTAAAGGCACAGGATGAATATGGATGAAAAATGAATATCAAAAGAATGTAATAAAAATAAGAACAGAATGCTGTCATGAAAATATTACGTGTCAATTTCTGCTAAAGGTCAAGGGGAAAGTGTATAAAGATAAAACCTGGCAGTGGTTTACAATGGTAACATTAAAAAAAAGAAACTGAAGGGTTGAGTTTGACTGGGCAAGAGCAAGCTATTCAAACTAATGCAACAAGGCTAGAATGGAAAAATCCAACTGTTTCAAAGGGCAAATTGTGAAAAGAAGCAATAGAAACAGCAGATCATATATTCAGCTTGTGCAAGAAGATTGCACAAACTGATTATAAACTGTGACATAACACTAAAATATCTGTAAAAATTAGTACGTACTAGTAAAGGAAAATTGGTGGGACCATATAATTGAAAAGGTAGTTGAAAATGAGCAAGTAAAAATATAGTTAGATAATAATTGTGTCCTTATCTGGCAGATAGCTAGATAAATGTAGACTGAATGAAACATATTAATACAGTCAGAAGTCTCCAAAATCATTGGTATGCATTACACTTTGTAAATAACAGTCAGTAATATACTGGCATACTATTTGTTACTATACTGCATAAAATAGATAAACAAGATAAATGCAATGAGTTATTGTGCCAATCTAAACAATCTTTCAATGGATTACATTTGGGCAAACTTTTGCAACTAGAATTCATATGTGTGAGCAGGAAGACAACAATCTTTATCATTTAAATTACTGCAGTATTTAGATAAAAGTGGCTTAATTAAGTCCCTAGCCCAAGATAAATAAATAATGCAACAGAAGTATATGGTCAACAGATTCAATTTTCACTATTGGACATAGATAAAGATAATCTGACACTGAGCTACTGCTGAATCTACTTTCTCATTGTGCTAATGACAGCATATTATCTAGGCAGGATGAAGGTTCCCCAGTATTTTAGGCATAAGATATTGGCAAGATAAGGAGCAACTGAGAAGGTTTTAGTGAGTAAGCTGAAGTGGTAAGATCATGGTTTAGGTCTTTCAGGAATTTTTTATTTTTTTTTTAAAGGCTGTATCAGCTCCACACAAGGAACTGCCCTTAGATAGAGACGCTACAGTCTTCTATCTAAATTTATTCCCTTTAATCATAAAGGTAACATAGAAAATCAGAGAGATAAAAAATGTCTCAAAATTTAATCCAGTATTTTAGGTAACAATGCAACCTGTATATCTGAATTGAAATCCCTCTTGTCTCTAACATAGAAAAGCAGCAGGATACATCTTGCAAATTTCTTAGAAATTTTGATTCAACAGTTTCAAAGAGAGTGTTAGAGATTAGGTAGTTTAGAACCTTTGTCCTACATACCTTAATAGCTGGTGAAATGTCTTTATTGCCACAAAATGCAAGACAGCATTTGAAAGCCATTGAGTCTTTGTGAACACTGTCTTTATCTGTTATTTCCAGGATGTAGAGGCATAAAAAGAGACCCCAAGATATTTAAAGACTTTGACCTAGTTGATGCTAATGCCACCTTTCATCCACAAATAATGATGATGATTCTTAGAAAGATGGTATTTTTTTCTCTTGATTAAAGTCAGGCCCATTTTTCATACAGAAAGAGACAAGGCCCCTAAGACATTTTTTGAGACCTAATAAAGACATAGAAAATATAATTTCACTATGCATAAAATAACATTGAAACAAGCCTATTGGATAATGAAGGAGAGGGAAACAGCCTGGAAGTGACTTGTACCAATGGCTTTGTGCTGCAACCTTGGTTGCATTTATATAAAAGTCTTCATGGCTAGGGAAAAAAAGTAATGCTACATTCAGAGGCTGTTGGAATGATAAGATTTTCCAATAGCTCCCAGCAGTCTGATGTGACTGACTAATTTGTTGACTCAGAAGTCCCAAGCAATGCATATGTTACTTCCTAGATGCCCTCATCCACACATAGAATTCCAATGACCTCATAATTCGCTGGAAAAGACGTTGATACTGTGGCTACTATTTCTGATTCCATTTTTCAAAAATCTCCTTCAGTATTTTTATTGTCATAGCATCTTGCATCATCTTACCAGCCTGTGTATGCTTGGTAAATTTAAAACAACCTTTGCATCTGAAGAACCTCAAACATATCGAATTTAATTCCTATAATTCTCAGACAGCATGATTGGAAATTACGGGATTTAAAGTCCAAGAAGGAGAACTGTTGGGGGGTTACAATTGGAGAGTTGCAGTTAAGGCTTGATAAAATAATTTTTGCCACTTCAAACTGAAGTGGATGGGGTTACCAAAGATGAAATCAGTCTATAGTTCATTTTATTTTAAAAAGTTTATAAAATAATTCAAGAAAGTCTTCTCCAATTAGTTTGCTAAGCATTATAAATACTTACATGTTAAACAACTTCATATTAAACTGATGTAGTTGAATGACAGAAGACAATGTTCTAGGGCCTGAACAAGCTAATTTCAGATAAATTAGATCAGATCGCTGTCTAGTTCTCTAGTGCCAAGCCAAGAAATATACTTTCCATCCAAAAGGAAAACCGTATGCTGCCCTCATAGTTTTGAAGGCCATTTTTACTTGATTCTCAAAAATGGTTTATGGGAAAAACTGACTACATCCTGTATCAACTAGTGTTTACTGGCTTTAATAATGATACTTCATGAGAACAATGCCATGCATGTTTATATATTATGGCTTTCCGCCCCAAAACCAATCCAAAAAAGGTAAAACAAGGTTGCATCTTGGCGTCAATCTTTTTAATAATTACATGAATGACAATTAACTTTCCCATAGTAAATGTTCTGCAGGTGCTTATTTTAACAGGCGCTTCAGTTAAGTATGTGCGTAGGATATATATTTGAATATATGTGTGAATGTATATACTGCTTAAGTGTGATTGTACAATGCAAGTTGATTAATATCCCAACTTGAAGATATCACTTAATCAACTAGAAGATCATAGTATATAGAGTATAAAGTGGACTTCTTATATATAAAAATCCTAGTGTAATTCCTGGGTAATCACACAGTGTAAAATTATTCAGTTCTCTGTATAGATTGCCTCAGCAAGAAGCATCACTTAAAGAAATAAAATAGTGTCCAAAATTCACCCTGCTGATTACTAGTCTACAACTTAAGAAATGTTCTCGGAATCCATTATAATTTTCCATAAAAGAATTCTCATTCTAGGTACATTGCGTGACTATTATGCTCAGATGATGGGAGTCATACCTGATCATATTTCTAGCGAGTTAAATCTCGCATGATGTCTTTATTTCAGAAATGCTGAGAAATTCTTTAACATTTCACTCTCCTGGAATGGATTAGTTTTATTGCCAGTCATGGTTGATATGAGAGAGGCTTTGCTTAGACTACACAATGACAACAGTCTGCCATCAAAATCAACATTTCTGTTGTTCCTTCTTCCTTGAGCCCTGTAATCTTCAGGTGTTTAAGTATGTTATGTGTGATGTCATAATTGTGCTTTTGTTGCTGAGCCTGCCATAAGCAGCCACTGATGTAAATAACAGCTAGGAAAGCTCATTTCTTCACAGCATATGTTTAATGAATGTGTTCATACATTATAAGGGAAAGGAAAACCAATCAACACAGAATAATCCTTTTTAACTGAAGCACTGTATGCCTGCAGTAGATTGCAGGTTGGATCTCACCAAGGTGAACCTAGCAGTTTCAATCCAAGCTTTGGATGTATTCCAGAGTTCTACATAGCATAACATCACATTCTGGCTTCTGATTCTTCTTTGCCATTTCTTAATCATCCATCTTTTAAATGCATTGATAAACATCATCCATTCAAGGAATGGGTAGAGGATTTTATAGATTTAAGAGACTAGATTACAGGTAGCCCTCGACTTACAACAGTTCATTTAGTGACCATTCATTGTTATAACAGCACTGAAAAAAGTGACTTATGACCATATTTCACAGTTACAACCTTTGCAGCATCCCCATGATCATGTTATCAACATTCAGATGCTTGGCAACTGGTTCATATGTCAGCCCTGGAGGCCATCTTTTTCTTTGGATCTTCAGGGCTGCCACACTTAGTGCTGTGGTAATGTGAGAGGGGGGTTGTATGGAACGGGTAGGGATATATAGCATAACAACATTCTTTTCTCTGGGAGTCAAGGACATTCAGCCTGCACCTGTAGAGGCGTGACTGGGGGGCATCTCCAGTTGGGACAGTGGATTGATTGGACCATGTGATGGACATGAGGGTGCAGGGGACGGGACTTTGACTTTCCTTTGGGTGGGGAAAACCTGGGAGTTTTCAGATTTGGGTTTTCCCAGATGTGTCAATATGACATCTCTAATAAAATGGAACTTTGAGGAACTACCTGCCTCGGACTCTTACTTGGTTGGGGTGTTACTTGGAACCTAACATCATATTTATGCTATGTCTCAAGGAGTCATAAATAAATAAATAGTCGGGAACAACTAGCACATATGTGCGAGGGGAACCTTTACCTTTAGGTCTCAAAGTCATGTGATCCCCTTTTACAAACTTCTGACAAGCAAAATCAATGGAGAAGCCAGATTCACTTAACAACCAGGTTACTAACTGCAGTGATTCAACTGCAGTGATTCACTTAGCAACCGTGGCAAGAAATGTTGTAAAATGGGGCAAAACTCACTTAACAAATTCTCACTTAATATAAATTTTGGGTTCAATTGTGGTCGTAAGTCAAGGGCTACCTGTATTGATAGGAAATTATTTCTGTTGATTTGTAGAACAATCAGTCACAAGTATATTGATTTTGTTCCAATTGTATGGAATCATCTCCTTAGCAAAGAAGATCTTACCAATCAATCACATTCAGAATGTTTGAAGAATAGTGTACACCCATGTGATTTAAAATTAAAAGAACTACAGTTTTGGACAAAATTATGTTATTAAGTACAACTGGTTTTCTTGAAAGTGTTTAAAAATACAAGAAGAGTAATTCAATTTGAATTGGATGAGCATGGAATCTATTTTTGATATAAAATTTCTTTTCAATCTATTTTGGCAAATAATCAAGAATTGGCCAGAAAAATAGTAATAATTTCTATGAGGCCTATTTAAATGACATTATATTATTCATAACTTTTTCTAGATTGCATTAAGGGTTTCTAATCAATTTTGTGTATACTTTGGTTTCAGTATCCATTGAGTTAGTCAGCTCTTGAAAAAATTGAAAACATGAACCAACAGCTTTTACTAATTAATGTGGTGTAGCCCATTAGTTTGTTTTTTATTAGCTGCTTGATTTATAGCAAAATTAAATTAATTAAATTATCATTGGTGTTTAAAATTGCAAGAACTACTACAGTATTGGCTGAAAAATTAGCACATTAGCAAGGAGTCTTGAGAAGTTTTTAAAGATAAAAATAAAATTCACACTTTATAATTACAATCTAATGATGATGATTTTTCAAAATCAATCTTTTAATTTACTCCAAACTTCAATGAAAGAAAAAAAAAGAAGGAAGGGGGAGGTATATAAGGCCAAGAAAATATACAAAAAATGCCCGGAATGGTGCTAAAAATGTTCACAGTACCAGCTTACCCAGATGAAAACTCTCTTGTTTTTCTTTTTCTTTTTTTTTTTTTTTTGCAATTCTCTATATTATCACAATCAGAAAATATGATCATCCAGGTCATTCTAAAACTTCAACAACCAGTGGTGGAATTCAATTTTCTTACTACTGGTTCTGTGTGTGTGGCTTGGTGGGCATGGCAGGGGAAGGATACTGCAAAATCTCCATTCCCTCCCCACTCCTGGGGGAAGGATATTGCAAAATCTCCATTCCCATCCCACTCTGGGGCCAGCCAGAGGTGGTATTTGCTGGTTCTCCGAACTACTCAAATTTCCCGCTACCGGTTCTCCAGAACCTGCTGAATTTCATCCCTGTCAACAGCCATATTAAAATGTAAACTCTACATGTCTTCCTCCAAATATTAAGGAAAATGTTAACATTCTTAACAATAATTTCTCTTTGCTTCAACAAATTCTTTTGCGGTTTCAGAAAAAATCCAGTAAATCCTGCATCTCTCGTCTTCAGGCAAAAAAGCTAACACTGTATCCAGCAAGACTGCACTGACTGGACCCTTTAACTCTCTCGAAATGAATTTCTCCCCAAGGCTTTATAAATATTACACATGGGAGATGGTAAGGATAAATACATTATTGATTTCTCAGGCTCCCCGGACACGTAAACATCGCTGCGCTGGAATTTTCTAGGACTGCTGCTCAAGAACCGAGAGGGCATAATTGGGAACCTTGGTGCAAACAAAGGAATAAACAAGCAAACCGTAAGCAACAAAATGGAGATTAAATTGTGAACATAGCTCTCCCGGGCATGATCATTCTTAATGAGGCAGAGATATGGCGAAAATAAGGAAGTCCAAATTGACTCCATGTCTTGATTAGAAAAGTAATCCCTCAGCCCCCTTTTTAATAATTCGTTCTTTGCTTGGTTTGCACTCCGGTGTCTTACATTTGGAAGATTGATATCAGATGCCTGTGTTTTAAGATCACACTGAGATGTCCAATTATTTTTAGAGCTAACTTTTTTTGTGTATGTGTTCCAGTTAACAGTTTACTGCCTGCGTACTATCACCCCCTCTGAAGGAGTTTACAGTACTATATAACAAATGACTGTTGAATACACACCTTTACAGGCATAAATCTCACTTTCCAGTAAAGTTTGCTGCTGGTATTACTTACCAAGCAAGGCAACGAAGCAAAAAAACGACAAAACCCCCAAAACTTCGTAATATATCAATGTCCATTATATAGTATGCTGTATGAAGATAAGGCAGCGTTTTCCCAATGGATGCATACATATACAGGTAGTCCTCGATTTACAATCTCAATTGAGCCCAACATTTCTGTTGCTAAGTGAAACATTTGTTAAGTAATTTTGCCCCATTTTATGACCATCCTTGACACGGTTGTTAAGTGAATCACTGGTTGTTAAGTTAGTAACAGAGTCGTTACATGAATTTGGTTTCCCCATTGACTTTGCTTGTCAGAAGGTCACAAAAGGGGATCCCGTGATCCCAGCATACTGCAACCGTCATAGATATGAGTCCGTTGCCAAGCATCTGAATTTTGATCACATAGCCATGGGGATGCTGCAGTGGTTGTAAGTGTTACAACCTTATGGTCTTATGGTCATAAGACTTATAGTCATAAGCCACTTTTTTCAGTGCCGTTATAACTTTTTTTATTATTATTATTATTATTTTTAACATTTTATATTTTAAATTACTAACATTACAAACAACATATACAATATTTCACCCTGTGCTATACATAAGAAAGGAAGATTTGGTTCTTCGGATATATCCTCATGATCGCCAAAATCCACGTTCTCGGGGTACAGGTACCGAAGCATCCAATTTTCCCAGCGCATAGTCCACAAATGGTTTCCAAATTTTCCAGAAAATGTCTTCTTTATAGTCACCATTTCTAATTTTAATATCACATGTCATTTTATCATTTAAAGCTAATTTCCACATTTCACAATACCATTCTTCTATTCTAAAATTCACATCTAATTTCCAATATCTGGCTATTATAATTCTACCCATTATAATCATAATTCTAATCAATTCTTTCTCATATTTTGTTGGTTCTATTTCCTTAATTATCAACAGTAATATAGTTTCTGGTCTCAATATTATTGCTTTCCCCATCATTTCAAATATCATTTCCTCCAATTGTTGCCAAAACTTTTTAACTTTATCACATTTGTACCACATATGTTCATAAGTCCCTAATTCCATATCACATCTCCAACATTGTTTACTAATTTTTTTATCCATCAATGACAATCTTAATGGAGTCAAATACCATTTCCAAACAACCTTATAATTATGCTCTTTAATCCTTACAGATAAAGTCTTCATAATTCTAGTGCCGTTATAACTTTGAACGGTCACTAAATGAACTGTTGTAAGTCAAGGACTACCTGTAATTGTGGATTTTTGCTTATTATTTGATAAGTTTAAGTTTAGGTTTATTAAAATTTATATGCCACCCTTCTCCCGAGGGACTCGGGGCGGCTCACAGCAATAAAATCACAATAAAAACAACAATAATAAATACGATTAAAATTAACAATTAAAACTCAGTTTAAAACCCACAATTAAATTAAAACTCCCAGAACAGACTCAGCCAGTTTGCTTAAAGAGCCATGTCTTCAGGTCCTTGCGGAAGGAACGGAGATCAGGGGCCGTCCAGAGCTCGGTGGGTAACTCGTTCCAGAGGGTCAGTGCAGCCACAGAGAACGCCCTCATCATGGGCACCGTCAGCCGACATTGGAATCATAGGTTGTTTTTTTACATAGCCCAGACCTTTGGACCACAGCTATAAATATCTACTATGATATCTGCTGTCTGTGGCATCG